ATGACAATCCTATTTTGGAAATTTCAAACCTTTTTAGTCCTATTTTGGGAAATATTCTAATTAAGAATAGTGAAAGAGAATATAAATTATTGATGGTATAATGAGAAGATAATAAAATAGTGTGTTGGAATGAAGGATAAATCCAAAAAAGTAGTTGTAATAGTGTATTATTTTCAAGATTATTGAGAGTACGATGAGAAGATTTTAAAAATGGAAAGATATGAATGTTACAGCTAAAAAAGAAAAGTGGTAAGATATAAATATTACGGAAGAAGTATTTTATATAATAGTTAATCCGTAATCCGTATTTTATTTCAAAAATTGATGCACTTTTGTTTTAGGCAAGTACATTCTTTCTCCATAGTCATGCACCTTCATTACTTCTCCATAAATTCCATAATCATGCACATTCCTACACATTCAAAAATGTTCCTAATATTTACAATTTTGTCACCACCTTTTGCACTTTGAAATTGACCTGATGCACATTTTTTTTTTTCATTTTAATGGCTAATATCACTTCTCATTTGTTCGTATGAGAGCACTATGCATATTTATATGGCGAGATGCTTATACTCCGTATATTGCAAAGCAACACACCCCCCATATTTAAAGTTGCGCATCATTGATGAACCCCACATTCCAGCAAGTTATTACCAGGCGGGCAGGCACATTCATTTTCACCTCTCATCTTTACTTTGTCAACAAGCTAAGCTAGCGAATAATAAAATAAACCCCCGCCCCGCCCATTATATTCCAATCCAACTTCTTTAATTCCGCTCCCACTTTTAGTTCCTTAGCTTGATTACTAAGAGTATACTTTCTTCTTTTCTAAACAAAAGTCCTCCTTAATTTTTTGGATGGTCCCTAAATAAAAGTCCCATTTTTCCTTTTGACAAACAAAATAATGAAAAATAGTGTCAAACAATATTTAAACAGTGCAAAAAATGGAAGGAATCTCACTTCGGCGCAAGTGACAAAAGGACCGCCTACTCCACGTGATAGCCAGCAGGTTCCATATAAGGGAAGTGGACAAAAATCTATGGCCCTGGCATGGAATGAATTAATTAATGCGGTAAAAGTCAGATTGGTACTCGAAGTTGCATAAAAAGGGTCAAATAAGTCCTTATATAGGAGGCTCTGTCTGGACGTCGTCATTTGGGGTGGTTCCCGGTGGAATTTTTTGACGAAAATTTTTGAGCATCTTATTCATTACGTCTAGTTCACTCATACCAAATTTCAGCTAAAAATTCAACCGGGAAGGCATTGAAATGAATTCTTGAAGCTAAAAGCGTAGTTATCTTCAAGAATTCATTTGAATGCCTTCCCGATTGAGGTTTTAGCTGAAATTTGGTATGAGTAAACTAGACTTAATGAATAAGATGATCAAAAAAATTCATCAAAAAATTCCACCGGGAACCGCCTCAAATGACGACAGCCGGATAGTAAGGACTTATTTTGCTCTTTTTATGTAACTTCGAGAACCAATCTGACCCTTACCTCATTAATGAATGAATGAATTCCCCCTCCCTTTTCTTTCTCGCAATACCTACTTATTATAAGCAGCATTAAAGTACGTACGTACCTTCTTAGCTAGAATTTCATTCCTTTTCTAATCTAACATGTTACTCCGTATAATAATAATACTCCGTAATAAATAATCGCTCTCAGTCGTTGCCGGAGATTCCATCAATTGTACTCAATTTATTAACTATTCCATCCGTCCCATTTTACATGTCCCACTGTTTTTTTTATTATCCCAAAATAAGTGTTACATTTCCATTTTTAGAAAGAAATTTGTGGTTTATAATATTTCACTTTATTATACTCAAATCTCGACCACAACTTTTATCTTCTCAATCACTTTATTAAAAATTGTGTCGATATCAGATGAGACATATAAAATGGGACAAAGATAGTATTAAGTAGCGCATCCCCCATTAGTGGAATACATTATTATAAATCAAGCTTTAAGATCGGGTCGGAGTTCCATCGTCAAAGTGCCCACATAAAAGAAATAGCCCAATACTTGTAGGGATAATATGTTGTTGGCTTGTATCCGTTGTAATTGGCTCTTATTTGATGGCTTAACATTATGAGCCCGTTTGGTACTCAAAGAGTTACTAGTCGATTTTTAACGAACACATAAATTTTAATATCACGTTCTGAAAAATGTATAATAATTAAAATAAGTAAATAAGTAAAGTTAGAATTATTTTTCTAGTCAAATGTCTGAAAATATTGAAGAGGACTACTATAGCTTTTACATATAATTTTTACTTTACTTTATCAATAAAATGTATTTTTCACAACTCAGTAAATTTAGTCAATTCAGTTGTTTTAACTCGAATTCACAATTTAAGTGAAGAAAAAATGGCATGTATATTACGAACAGAGTTTTCTCAAACAATAATATGACTAGTTATTTTTCGGGCCAAAATATGACTAGTAAGTAGTAACTGTGCACATGCAAGTAATTGAACTTAAGTCACTATAGTATATTTCTGAGTGACAAATCACTAGCTAGTAGATGATGAGTCACTAGAAACTAGTCATGTACTGGATATGTCATTCTTCGGAAAATTTTAAAATAAGTCATTATTTATCTTTTGGATTTAATTTTGTAATATTCATGGAAAACGACTTGACTATAGATGATGAGTCACTAGAAACTAGTCATGGAACTCTTTTAAGTTCCATCCCTCACCCACTCTGCTATAATATCTACTTTCATAGTAAACGGCTATTTAACCGTTTTTTACACTGCCAAAACAATATTGTATAAAAAAAATTCCCAAAACATTATGTTGAGGTTTATTCCTTCAACCCTCGGGTCCAACACGTAAGCCCACGGATTTCGAGTGGAGTGTGTATGAATATCTAGCCCAACTAGCAAGTAATATGGATCAAGGAGAACAGTAAGCAGCAAGTAAGTGATTAGGTATTATTATCTCTTAATAACTCCCTAATACAATACTTCTCACTAAGGCTCGTCAGTCGATCGTCTTACAAGGCAGTAGAAGTGCTGCGAGTAAGAATGCTATAGCTAGAGTGCTAAGAATAGAAAGTTGCCAACCCTTTACAATGAAATAAATGCTTCTATTTATACCCACCAATGGGCAGTTAGCTATACTGACGTGGAAGCCTGTGATTCGCTGGTGTCTCAACCACCAAATCTTCAGCATTAAATGCATTTCCCGCCAGAATCTAGGTTTCCCGCCTAATTAGTGAGGACGATCGTCCGCTCGGGGAGCGAGCTGGATTGCTCCAGGTGGCCTCCAATGGGTATTGACCGTTCGTCCCCTGGCCTTTGGGGATTCTCGCCATGTGGACTGGACTGCCTCCGATGGCTATGGGCTTGCTCTGACGACGTTTGTCGTCATTCTGGTGGCCTGTAGTCCTGCTCCTTTGTGGATTCTCGCCATGCAGACGTTCGTCCCTCCTGGAGGAACATGGGCCTGCCAGGCTAACTTAGTGTTCTATCTGGACGTACGTCTGGAAGAAGGGGTAAATGGGCCGAACCTCAACTTGGGCCATTAACCCAACACATTACTAATTAAAAAACGATAGATGAAAATGTGACATGATAATTTTTAGCGGCTACAATTGTGTTCAAAGTGTACATCGTCATTACTACATCGTAGTGACTTTGTAAACTTTGAACACAAATATATCCACATTTTGTCCACTACTATTATTTTGATCACTATGTTAGGAATTATTTCTACTTTATATAAAATTATTTCCCCTTTAGAAAATAAGAAAATACTACCTTCATCCCATTGAAAGGTTCTCATGACAAAATGACACGATTATTTAGGCAATAATTAAATATGGTATGATAGTTCAAGTATATTATAAGAAATAATTTTAATAGATATATAATATAATGAGTTTAGTATTGATAAGATGTTATAAATGTATTTTTTTAATATTAAACAATTAATTTATAATTTAGGATTTTTAAATGTTTTCTAAAATGAAAATGAAAACCTTTATAATTTAGGAAAGTGAAAATCCTTTCTATTGAATGGAGGGAGTATAATATTTTCAGAATTCGAGGAAAATTGTAAGGCGGAGTCGGATTGATTTCTTACATGGCCAAATAAGGGTCTTCAAAAAACGGATTAGATGGCCCTCACTTTATCTAATCAATGTTTGATTATTCTTATGTCGCGTGAATGCTAGATTCTAATGTGTTGCCTACCTAAGTGCTCAAACTAGAGCTTTTAGAACATTGAATTGAAAAAGACAAATACTTTATGCTGTGTTATTTAAATCTTTAATTAGCCTATTTAAGGAGTAAATATATGGAGCACATCAACGTGCTCATTTGAAACACGTCGATGTGATAAATGATTCCCTTAAAATTTGAGAGAATTCATATCATTTACTCCCGTATTATACTAATGTGTTCCATCGTAAGTATGTTGATGTTTCTCTACTTAGGGGTGTTTGGAACTGATTCTGCTTCAACATCTTTTTTAAAATAACTTTTGCTGTCACCCCAGCTTCTAAAATAACTTATTCTCAGAATAAATTAGAGCATCATAATCACTTTTGCACTTTCACTCAACGCTTCAACTTATGATTATACTCTTTGAAGGAGCAGAACCAATTTGAAGAATTACATCCAAACACCCCATACATTTCTCAATTTAGAGGGCAACGCTTTGAACGGAAGTTAAGATGTTTCTTTTGGACTGAAATTTGCTGGTCTGGTTAGGTCTGATCAGGTCTGATCTGGTCTAGTAAACGTTTGGTCTCTGTGTATTTTATAACTATGAAAGTCTGGTCAAGTCTGGTCTGAGATTGAAAACAGTCCAAAAGAAAACATCCTTAATTGTCTGTTGCAACAGGCAGCTGCAGCTGCAACTACTTCCAATTTTAGGGTTATATTAAATACAAACTTTAGCACTTTGCAGTGATAATTGGATTAATAGCTTCTTATTTTCTCGCTACAATAATTAAAATCATACTCGCAAGTCGCAACCCGCAAGAAATAAGAAAACGAAGCTGTTTTCATTACTTATCGCCAAAATGAGTTTACAAAATGGTTTCAGATAGCACTCCCTAGTCCCTACTCAGTACTCACTACTCAAACGAAGCTGTTACTAAAATAACTTATAATTTGTTGAAATCCAGCTTATCATAATAATTCCACGGATACTTCGTATAATAATGATAACATACAGCAATAGATATTCAAAATTCAATTCACTAATTCAATATACCATGAACATGTAATTTATGGAATATATATCTGCTTTCTTTTTCCCACTTCAATAGCTTTTCATTCTTCCCTCCTAAAAATTCAAAATAGCTCAAAATATAATTATAATTAATATATATGGTCAAAATCGGAAAAGGGTTGTTTGTTACTTAAAGCTTGAAAAAAAGGTAAAGGTGCGCACACCAATGTCGCTACACCATGTGCCTAAAATCAGTGCACCCACTTTCTTTTTGAAGAAGATGCTGAAGCAAGTAATCTTCTCCGCCGTAAATCGAGGCTTGACTCACCACCGGCGGCGGTTGCAGCAGCAGCACCTGCTGCTGCTCCCGATGATGTCCCCGGAACTCCTTTTGCCTCCGGAGCTCCACCACTTTGCGGTGGGAGTTGGAGTGCTTCGCTGACTCAAAAGTCGGGCTCGCCGCGGGTCGGTACTCGGGCACCAGGCGACCCGATTTGTAGCGGACCCCACAGGCATTGCAGAGTGTCTTTGGGCCCAACGGGCCTGTCCGCCACTGAGGGGTCTTATCAGAAGCGCAGTGCAGGCACTTCCGCCCGACAATCTCACTGCTCTCTCTTCTCTTACACGCCGCCCTTTTGGCTGCAGGGTCGATCGAACCGCCGCTGCTGTCGGAGGACGACGTGGCGGAAGGGAGTTGTTGGAGCCGGAAAGGCCAACCTGAGGCCCTTGAACGCTTGCTCCGTGCTTTACCGGGAACAGATACATCGCACGGAAATGCCGGGGGAGGAGAACTATTGTTTCCGGTTAAGCTGTGATGGCGGCCGGCGGCAATTGTAGTGGTACAGTTACCGTTGGCGGCGGTAATGAGTTGAAGGTTTTGAAACTTGTCGCTTGAGAACGACTCTTCAACGAAGTTTGATAGCCATTCCAGCTCCGCCAGATCTTCATACTGTACAAACAATTGACAGAGAAAAACAGATCAATTATTTCACAACCTAAAATCAAATAAACAACCGCTAGGAAAAATTCAATTCCAAGCAGAAATACGTGACAGGAACAAAAAAATATACGCCGTACCGGAACGCAAATTTCTGAGGCGGTGAATGTAGCGTCAAAGTTACAGCCGCCGGAAACAGAGGAGTTGCAGCTGTCGAGGCAAGTGACGGTGGAGGAGTCGCCAGTAGCAGTGTGCTGGTGGAAGAAACCGCCGGTCATGGCGTCGTCGTCCTCTGTGGAGAAATCGAAGAGGTCATCCACTGGGAAATTATTGGAATTGCCTGCCTGCACGTAACCGTGTTCTGCGGAAAACTGTGCATCGCCAGAGACTGGAAGCAAATATCCGTCGTCGATGAATAATCCCCTAGCAGCCATGGCAGAAAATGTAAAGCTGCTAATTGTGAAGGGGAAAACGCAAATGAAAGGCAAAGTCTGGGGTCTGGTTTGCGTGAGCGACAGATGCAAGTGAAGGAGAGTTATAATTCGGTGAGTGAGCAGAAGGGCAAAATAGGATTTGCGAACATGGCTGAGCTTTAAGCGGAGTCAATATTCGTTTTTTTAATACAAAACTCTTCTTATATTAATATTCAACAGGATCGTTACCGATGGGCGTAACTCAACCGGTAGCGAGAGAGTGCCATAAAGGTTAGCTCTCGGGTTCGAACCCCGGCAACTGCGATGAGAGATTACTATGCTAAAAATGCATAGGGTCTCTTCAAGTATGAAACTGGCAACAAAACAAAACACAAGAAAAGGAAAGAACAAATTGGACTGAAAATGACGAGTAATAACTAATAAAACACTCTTCCAAACCCTACTCGCGAAATTCTTCCATGGCGACGGTTCAGGAGGGGGACAAAACTTCTTCATGTAATTTTCTTCCTCCACCGCCTGAGGCGGCCAGATCACACGTGCCAATCCCTCAACCACCTTATTGGATTTCAAATTAGCCCCTTCCATAAAACGCCAAATCGTCAGTGTTCCACCCGGATCAAGCATATGGTTATTAGCCCTCCCAACCCTATCCACCATAGATTCGTTGCCACCTCTGAAGAAGAGAGAATTTGAAAAACCTGAGCCAAAGCCTTAAGGGGGTATTTATAGGGGAAGCCACCAAAGGGAGGTCCAGTCACGGAGCAACATGTGGGGAGGAGCGTATCCCATGACACGTGTCGTGTGAAGGCAGACAGTCGGGTAATCATGACGAAAATCTCGAGAGTTGAACCAAGAGTCATAACTGTCACTTTAGAACCTGAATTGGGAACCATCAAGACAACTGCCACTCGGAAGCGTCATGGCCGCACGGCTTAGAATTGTCTTTTCTCTACTTCCTTATGTTACGCGCACGCTCGAAACATCAGAAATGGGGAACTTGTGTTGGGATAATTGGCCCACCACGAGATAGGCGGAATACTCCTGCAAATAAATGAATCGAGAAGTTTGTTAAGGCCTTAGGACCGAGCGGCATAACCCGCACAACATGTGCTGCTCGGCACAAGGTCCTTGTGCAAATCATCTGGGCCACTGTGGGTGGACTCTCAACGTACTACCTCGGAATAATTGGCGAGAAAACAAGGATTTAATGGGAAGCGTATTTAATGCACTAGATATGGAAAATGTTATGGTTCGAGGCTAGCCACGCAGGGCTCGCCACATCGCCGCCGCCACCTACCCCTTGGTAGTATAAATAGTACTCCTTACTCCCTCCATCCCGTTGAAAGGTTCTCATTCCTTTTTAGGAAATAATTTACTCTCTTTAATCACACATTTATTCAAATTCCTCTCCCCCAACTTATCTCCCTTTAATTACTTTCACATTTATGTTTACTTTTTCTAAACCTTCTCTTTCCTTTGTTTTTAATCACCCCTTTTTTTAACCACTTGTCTACAAAATCGTGTAATTTCCGCATGGGAACCTTCAAACGGTACGGTGGGAGTAGCATTTATTTCTTGAGATATTACCCGAAAGAGGACTAGAAAGGTTTGAAAATTCCAAAATAAAACTGTCATGTTTTTATTCCATAAATAGGACTAATTACTGCCATGCTTTGGCAATACCAGACTTCAAACACAGTAGTATTTTCCAAATTTGGCAGTAATTACTCCTATTTTGGGAATAAAAAACATTCGGCCATATTTTGGAATTTTCAAACTGTTTTAGTCCTATTTCAGGAACTTTCCCTTATTTTTTTGTAAAAGGTTGACAACCCGTATTAAATAGTATTAGCTTGTCTCTCTACTTCTTCTGTACTCTCACAGTTCAGAATAGACTTATAGAGACTCGAGGCTCGACTCGGTAAAGGTGTTTTGTAATCGTTCTAAGTGATAAATAGAACTTGACCCACTTTACCCCATACTCTTTCTTGCTATTGTTTGGGCCCTTGAGCCGAGAGGAATAAACCTCAACAAATTTTGTAACACATATCAACATAGCAATCATTATATCAACTACACCTTGGTCACTTCACAAAAAAATCTCACAAAGAAAGAAATTGATTCTTAGATTTTCATATAGAAATGTTCACTTTCACATAGACTCTTCACAAAGACAAATGTACCAATATAATAATACATAGGCAGAAGTGTCTTTGTGAGTGTGTAAAAATGACTAAAAATTTCATAACTGTTGTGAAATGAAAAAGATGAAGACTAAATTTAAGAGATAGATATAGATAAAAACCGCTAAATTACTTCTTCTTAATATCTGAGATTTTCTGAGCATCTGAATTAATTTACAAGGCTTCATCAAGCTCCTATTTATAGTGGTTGATCTTGATGATTAGTCATCTAAAGGATGACTCTACAAATTTGGTGGCAATAACAAACAGAGCCATCTGTTCTAACTAGGTTACAAGGATTGATGCTAGATTAGTGTCCTGATTACAAGGATTGAAATTTGATGACTAGGCTCATTACAAGGATGAATAATTCACACATGTAATTCCCATGATTTTACAACACTTCCCCTTGAATGTTCATCCTTGAGAATAGCTATTTGTATTTAAAAATTTATTGTGAAGATTAGTGTGAAATTTAAGGGGTAAAAATTTTGACTTATAATGTCATTGTATTTGGATGTACTGTCTTGTTAAAAACCTTATCAGGAAAAACCCAGTGGGATAAAAACCTGATGAAGGAAAAAAGAGTGCAGTGCATTCAAATACTCCCCCTGAATTTAGCATAAATTATGAAGGCGGCACATGCCGATTTTCTGTACAAGTTCTATGAACTTCTTCGGGGGTAAAGATTTGGTGAAGAGATCGGCCGGATTTTCACTCGATCTGATTTGTTGAATGTTGATTGTCCCTTCTTTCTCTAGATCATGAGTAGAGAAGAATTTTGGTGATATGTGCTTTGTTCTGTCTCCTTTGATGTAGCCTTCTTTAATCTGAGCTATGCAAGCAGTGTTGTCTTCGTAGATCACAGTCAGGTGACAAGTAACAGGCTTCATACCACATTCATTTTGAATGTGTTGAATTATAGATCGCAGCCATACACATTCTCTTCCGGTTTCATATAGTGCAATTAACTCCGAATGATTTGATGATGTAGCTGTCAATGTCTGTTTCATAGATCTCCGCGAGATTGCGGTATTACCATAAGTAAATACGTACCCAGTTTGTGATTTTGCCTTTTGAGGATCTGATAAGTATCCGGCGTCTGCATATCCGATTAAAGAAGCTGTAGCATCTTTGGGGTAGAATAGGCCGAGATCAACTGTACCGCGGAGATAACGGAATATGTGCTTGATCCCGTTCCAATGACGCCTTGTTGGGCATGAGCTGTACCTAGCTAATAAATTTACAGAAAATGCAATATCGGGTCTAGTATTATTAGCTAAATACATTGATGCTCCAATAACACTCAGATATGGTACTTCGGGACCGAGTATTTCTTCGTCGTCTTCTCGTGGACGGAATGGATCATCGTGTATGTTGAGAGATCGAACCACCATTGGTGAAGTCAATGGATGAGCTTTGTCCATATAGAATCTCTTCAACACTTTCTCGGTGTAATTGGATTGGTGGATGAAAATTCCATTCTTCAAATGCTCAATTTGAAGTCCGAGACAAAATTTGGTTCTCCTGAGATCTTTCATTTCAAATTCTTTCATAAGATATTTTGCAGTATTTTCAATTTCATCGGGAGTTCCAATAATGTTTAAGTCATCAACATATACTGCAATTATGGCGAATCCAGAATTTGATCGCCGAATGAAAACACATGGACTAATTGGATCATTCTTATATCCTTCTTTGAGAAGGTATTCACTGAGACGATTATACCACATTCGTCCAGATTGTTTTAGTCCATACAATGACTTTTGTAATTTGATGGAAAACATGTCTCGAGGTTTCGAGCTATAAGCTTCAGGCATTTTAAATCCACCGGGAACTTTCATGTAAATGTCTGTATCAAGTGAACCATATAGATAGGCGGTCACTACATCCATTAGGCGCATTTGCAGCCTTTCAAAAACAGACATGCCAATGAGAAACCTTAATGTAGTCGCATCGACTACTGGAGAATAGGTTTCTTCATAATCAATTCCCGGCATTTGAGAAAAACCTTGGGCAACAAGTCGGGCTTTATATCTAACAATTTCATTTTTCTCATTGCGTTTACGCACAAATACCCATTTAAAACCCACAGGTTTTACGCCTTTTGGCGTAGGGACTATCGGTCCAAAAACATCACGTTTCTCAAGTGATTTTAATTCAGCCTGAATAGCTTCATCCCATTTTGGCCAATCGTGTCGTTTCCGACATTCTTCAATTGATGTTGGCTCATTGTCATTGTTTTCATTCATTACATTCGTGGCAACGGCATAGACAAATATCTCATTAATATCAATATCTTTTCGATTCCATTGCATTCCAGTAGAAACGTAATTTATTGAAATTTCATAATTATCAACGTTTCTATCAGTATCTGGAATATCTTCCTCATTTAAGGAAGTTGAATCATTATTTGAGATGTTTGTTTTGTCAATATCATTTTCTATGCCACTATTTTCAAATTGTTCATTTTCTTGTTCAGAAGGATGAACATCTTTGGCATCACAGATCAATTCCTGCCTTTTAATTCTTCTTGGTTTTATGTCTTTCGATCCAAGTGGCCTGCCACGCTTTTTGCGTATAGAAGAATCATTTGCAAGAGATTTTTCAGAATTCTCTGCTGGGATTTCGATTCTGGCAGGGGCATTCATAGCAGGAAGCCAGGAATATGTGACTTTGTCACTTTCTTTGTATCTGTGAATGCATCAGACAACTGATTTGCAACATTTTGTAAATGGATTATCTTTTGCACCTCTTGCTCACATATATTTGATCTAGAATCAAGGTGTAATAATCCTATTGCATTCCATGTTATTTCTTTCGTACTTGGGTCCGATTTATTAGTTTCTCCCCCTAAGGTTGGGAATACTGTCTCATTGAAATGACAGTCAGCGAACCGTGCGGTAAATAAGTCACCTGTCATCGGTTCAAGATATATGATTATTGAGGGAGATTCAAATCCAACATAAATTCCCAACCTTCTTTGAGGACCCATTTTTGTACGATGAGGTGGAGTAATCGCAACATAAACAGCACAACCAAATATTTTTATGTGTGCTAAGTTTGGCTCTTGTCCAGTAACTAATTGCATTGGGGAATATTCATGATATGCAGTCGGTCTAAGCCGAATTCAATTTGCTGCATGCAAAATAGCATGTCCCCAAGCTGATGAAGGTAAATTACACTTCATTAATAATGGTCTAGCGATTAATTGTAATCGTTTAATCAAAGATTCAGCAAGACCATTTTGTGTATGGACATGAGCAACAGGGTGCTCCACATCAATCCCAATCGACATACAATAGTCGTTAAATGTTTGGGATGTAAATTCTCCTGCATTATCAAGTCAGATTCTCTTTATAGAATGATCCGGAAAATGAGCTCTTAACCGTATAATTTGAGCAAGGAGTTTAGAAAATGCTAAATTTCTAGTCGATAAAAGACTAACATGTGACCAACGTGTTGAAGCATCAATCAACACCATAAAATATCGAAATGGTCCACATGGCGGGGCTATCGGCCCACAAATATCTCCTTGAATCCTTTCTAAAAATGCAGGTGATTCAGTTGCAATTTTGTTCATAGAAGGCCTGATGATCATTTTGCCAAGAGAACAGGCCTTACAAGGAAAATCACTTGATAATGGAACCCTGATATTCATTAATGGGTGTCCAAGTGAAGTCTTAATGATTTTATGCATCATTACTTGGCCTGGGTGACCTAAACGGTCATGCCACAACACGAATGTTTTCTGATCATCTAACTTTGCGTTAGAAACCAAATTTATTTCGAATGGACTAATATAAGTGAAATATAGTCCTGAAGGAATAAGCTGGCATTTTTTCACAAATATGTTTAGTGCCAGATTTAGTTGTCGTGGGACAAAGATATTCCTTTTGGTTTTCATTCATGGTTTCTATGTGATAACCATTTTGACGCATATCTTTAAAGCTTAATAAATTTCTCCGCGATTTGCTAGAGTATAAAGCGTCATTTATAAGTAATTTTGTCCCATTAGGGAGTATCACATATGCTTTCCCAGAGCCTTCAATGAGCTTCGCAACACCTGATATTGTATTGACTTTAGCTTCAACTAAAGCCATTTGAGAAAAATAGATTTTATTCCTCAAAATGGTGTGCGTTGTGGCGCTGTCTATCAGACATAGCTCTTTATCACTTGAGTGATCCATATCTTCAATATATAAATAAGCATAAGTTTGATATGCAAGTAACACAAATTATGCATCATATATAACATTAAAGTACATATATTACATCATTATTTATGAAAACAACATAAAGGTAACCTAAAGAAAAAGTGCACGATGACATAAACTACTATTTTACAATATGTAAAAGTCTTATAATTTATTTTGTGTTATTTTGATCAGTGGCAAATGCATCATCCATTATGCTATCATCCATGAAGAAGTCGGACACATCAAATTTTGGCAGAGATGGACTTGTGTCATTGACATAATTCGCTTCCACATTTTTGCCTTTGTTTAAATTCATGGAAGCTTGAAATAACTCCACAAGATGCTTTGCAGTACGGCATTTGTTAGCCCAGTGTCCCGTCATGCCACATTTGTAACAAGTCGTTTTCACCGAGGTTTTTGTAGGGCGATTTGTTTGATGGGCTTTTTGTTTGCCCTTGCCCTTGTAATTTGGTCTTTCGACCCGTTTATATCCTCGGTGGGACTTGTTATTATGACCAATAAAATTCCCACGTTTAAAATGCCTTCGTGTGCCACTGTGTGTTGCGTTTGATTCAGTGGCAATGTTATGTCCAGATGGACCATAAATCGAAGGACTAGAACCAGTGGGTCTCAGATTATGATTTTTCATCAAAAGGTCATTATTTTGTTCAGCGACCAGTAAAACTGATATAAGGTCAGAGTATTTTTTAAAACCCTTTTCTCTATATTGCTGCTGTAGCAGCATATTAGAAATATGCATTGTAGAAAAGGTTTTTTCCAACATATCAGCATCAGTGACTTTTTGTCCGCATAACTTTAGTTTAGATGTTATTTGGAACATGGCAGAATTATAGTCACTGATTGATTTAAAATCCTGGAATCTTAAATTGATCCAGTCATACTGAGCTTTTGGCAAAAGTACCTTTTGTTGGTGGTCATACCTCTCTTGTAAATTGTCCCATAATTCTTTTGGATCATCAACCAAAAGATATTCAGATTCGAGACTTTCATTGAGGTGATGACGAAGGAAAATGATAGCTTTTGCTTTGTCTTGGGAAGATGATAGATTATTGACTTCAATTGTTTCTTCTAAACCATTAGCCTTAAGATGAGCTAGTGCATCGACTTTTCATTCCAAATATTTTTGACCAGACAGATCAAGAACGTCGAACTCTCTTTTGCTAATATTTGCCATACTATACTGCAGGAGATGATGATTGGTGATAAATTTGAGCTGATTTCTTGGAGAGTTTTGAGCAGATTCGTGCTGATAACGTGTTGTGAAATGAAAAAGATGAAGACTAAATTTAAGAGATAGATATAGATAAAAACCTCTAAATTACTTCTTCTTAATATCTGAGATTTTCTGAGCATCTGAATTAATTTACAAGGCTTCATCAAGCTCCTATTTATAGTGGTTGATCTTGATGATTAGTCATCTAAAGGATGACTCTACAAATTTGGTGGCAATAACAAACAGAGCCATCTGTTCTAACTAGGTTACAAGGATTGATGCTAGATTAGTGTCCTGATTACAAGGATTGAAATTTGATGACTAGACTCACTACAAGGATGAATAATTCACACATGTAATTCCCATGATTTTACAACAATAACCAATCTCTTTCCAATTCAAGATTCCTTTGTGAGAATATAGTCTAGATGTTTGACCATCCTCTATGGTATATTCTTCTATTTTGTTTGTGACCATCCTCTATGGTATATTCTTCTATTTTGTTTGTGAAAATTTCATTATCCATCTTTTCAAATATATTTGAGCTGTTGATTCTGTCTAAAGTATAGAATCTTGGCCTCACACATCTCCAATATATTTAAAATTATATGTCTAGACAATACATCTCCAATACATCTCCAATAATTAGATCTAGGACAAGTTTGATTCTTATATAAAATGAGTGGAGTCGTTTTGAAACTTAACTAATAACATCGGATCGATTTATATTAAAAAATCAAGAAATGTTATGGAATCAAATTAATACTAAACGGTTGGTTTTTACTTTCATCGGTTCTTACAAAGTAATTTTGTCCCATAAAAAAATCAATACATTTTACTTTCTGGAACATAAAAACATCAAAATTCAAAATTCAAAATACAAGGAATAAATAAATTTTGAAGCTCTAATCACTTCAAACATCAAATCCAAGCTAAATTTAGTGAACATTTAATTGAATGGAAGAAATTTTGAATTTTCATTTATAAATAGAACACAAAAACGTTGGTATTTAATATCAATATAGATTGGATCATCATCAGGGGCGTATCCAGGGTGGGGGCAGGGGGGGCAGCTGCCCCCACTCAACCCCCACCCAACCCTTTTATATATATATATATATATATATATATATATATATATATATATATATATATATATATATATATATATATATATCCAATTTAAATTCACACATATATTTTTGTTCTAAATAAAGGGTTCTTATACATTAAGTACGAAGTAGTTGCTGAAATGTGCTAATGGTAGAGCGGATGTAGCTATAAGCAAGGGCGTATCCAGGGTGGGGGCAGGGGGGCAGCTGCCCCCACTCAACCCCCACCCAACCCTTTTATATATATATCCAATTTAAATTCACACATATATTTTTGTTCTAAATAAAGGGTTCTTATACATTAAGTACGAAGTAGTTGCTGAAATGTGCTAATGGTAGAGCGGATGTAGCTATACGTTTAAGATGCATGCATGTGATGAGGTCTAGTGTTCGATTCCTATTAGATGCAGTTTATTTTTGTTTTATTTCTTTTGTCTTGAAGCCTTAAGCAAGTTGGTTTTACATTGTTCTTTTTATTTATTACTACGGTATTTCTTGTTGGAAAGATCTAAATACATCAATATATAGTTTCACATACTCCCTCCGTCCCGGAAAATTGTTCCCGGTTTTCCTTTTTGGGCCGTCCAAAAAAATTGTTCCACTTTCCCCTTTTGGAAAGTTTTTTGTGGCTAACTGGCTACAATTCATTTACCTTTTTCTTACTCACCCGCAACCATACATTTCCACTTTATTCCCACTTTCTTAAACTCCGTTCCAAGTCAATGTGGGAACAATTTTCCGGGACGAAGGGAGTATGAACTAATTTTGTACATAATATAAACTACGGAGTATTTTTTAATATACTTGTGAATTTTAAATTTAAATTAATTCTAACTAGATGCTCCTCCTTCCCTTAGTTGATTCATTTATACATTGACATAATTTTGCACAAATTACAGATTCCATGTGATAAAATTATTTCTAACAAAGTGAAATTTAAGTAAACATGATATCATAATGTTTTTTAAGAAAGAATAATTTATTATTTATTATTTATAATTGGTTTTAACAATTTTTTTCTTGATCTGATTAGTTTGATTTTTCTTGTAATTTTTTCTTAATCTAAGGTAAATTCGCCCCCTCTGGCATCTTTTTCTGGATACGCCACTGGCTATACGTTTAAGATGCATGCATGTGATGAGGTCTAGTGTTTGATTCCTATTAGATGCAGTTTATTTTTGTTTTATTTCTTTTGTCTTGAAGCCTTAAGCAAGTTGGTTTTACATTGTTCTTTTTATTTATTACTACGGTATTTCTTGTTGGAAAGATCTAAATACATCAATATATAGTTTCACATACTCCCTCCGTCCCGAAAAATTGTTCCCGGTTTTCCTTTTTGGGCCGTCCAAAAAAATTGTTCCACTTTCCCCTTTTGGAAAGTTTTTTGTGGCTAACTGGCTACAATTCATTTACCTTTTTCTTACTCACCCGCAACCATACATTTCCACTTTATTCCCACTTTCTTAAACTCCGTTCCAAGTCAATGTGGGAACAATTTTCCGGGACGAAGGGACTATGAACTAATTTTGTACATAATATAAACTACGGAGTATTTTTTAATATACTTGTGAATTTTAAATTTAAATTAATTCTAACTAGATGCTCTTCCTTCCCTTAGTTGATTCATTTATACATTGACATAATTTTGCACAAATTACAGATTCCATGTGATAAAATTATTTCTAACAAAGTGAAATTTAAGTAAACATGATATCATAATGTTTTTTAAGAAAGAATAATTTATTATTTATTATTTATAATTGGTTTTAACAATTTTTTCTTGATCTGATTAGTTTGATTTTTCTTGTAATTTTTTCTTAATCTAAGGTAAATTCGCCCCCTCTGGCATCTTTTTCTGGATACGCCACTGATCATCATAGAATAAAAAATGAATTGCCTTGATTCGAATCCCTCAAAACTTAAATAAAACACATTGAAATGCGCGCGCGCGTGTGTGTGTGTATATATATATATATATATATATATATATATATATATATATATATATATATAAAGATAAGAGATCACATACTAACCATGCTTAAAATACTAATTTACTAACTCAATAATATGCAACATATTGAACTTCAATATGCAGTACAAATAATGTAAAGATGCACACTGTGAATTTCAATATGCAATAAAAACAATATGCAAAACTTTGAACTTTAATATGCAGTACAAATAATATGCAACACTTTGAACTTCAATATGCAGTACAAATAATGTAAAGATGCACCGTTTTTGATAGTTTGTAGGTTAGCATGGGAGGAATGGTTAGTATGTGATCTCATAACTACAATCATAATGAATATCGTAAAGTAAATTTATATGGAACTAGCATGCATTTATTTGGATTACTTTTGTAATTATATGTAATTTATTCGATAGAACAAAGCATCATTTGTAAAACAAATGAGCTTATTCATCCGTTTTCATCCTTATTGTTTGTTAAATTTACTTTTTTTTTTAAAAATTGTTATTACTATTATTACTGTAATTTTTAATCTTATGCATGTTTAGGATTTGGAGGGCTGAATTTTCGGCAACATAGGCAAGCAAGCAGCCAAGCAGTGACAACTGCTTACTGCTTAGTTTTGAGAAAGGTGGCGAGCAGTACAAAGTATACAACACACACGGTAAAAGGTTTTTGAGTTAATTAAATTTGAAACAGGTGTACGTATGACTGCCAACGGTGAAAAAAGAAGCGATGATTGTGAATTCTACCCAGACCTGGATAGAGATGTTTAATTTTAGGGAAAAGTGTCAAATAGGTCCCACTACTATTGCGGAAACGTCAATTAAGCCCACCAAACCAAATTTCATCCAATTAAACCCACGAGCATTAAAACAGTGTTCAAATCAGCTTTTTACCAGGTTAGCATTCGGTCATCAGGTAAATAGCAGACGTGGCGATACGTGGCGCTTTATACGTTTTCCATTTTTCCTTTTCTTTTTCTTCCTTTCTTCTTCCTTCCCTTCTCCGCTTTCACTGTCTTCTTTCTCCATGCCTCCCACGCCGTTATTTTCTTTTCCTATCATTCTTGAATTCTCTCCCTTTGGCTTACAAACCCAAATCCCCTCTGTTTCTCACTTTTGTATGCTTTTTGGATTTTGACAGAATCACATACCCATCCAATCCATGAATACATAAGAAATTTGAGAATAATAAATTAGATTCAAATAACAAATTGATGGGGTTCCACGAAGAAGACCGGCACCATGAGATGTGAAGAAGACCGGAATAGGTTCTTTCTCTTTGTCGGAAGTTGGTCGGGGAAGATGACCAGTGGTTGGATCTCATGCGAATGAACCAAGGAACAGTGGTGGTGGCGTCTAAGCAGCAGCATCCAGGGGATGGTGGCTACATCTAGTTGGCGATGTAGAGGCAAAGCTCCAAGAACAGGACCGGACCACGAAGCAACTTTGACTTTGCAGGAAATTGGCCGCGGAAGACGACCGGCGAAGAAAACGAAATGGGGGAAGAAATAGAGAATAGAAGAAAGGAAAAGGAAAATAAAAAGAAATGGGAAAAAATTAAAATCCACATCATCACAACTCAACAAATTAACCTGAAAACCAGGAAGTTACCTGTAAAAAGGCATTTTGAACTTTTTATACCTGTTCATGGATTTAATTGAGGGTTATTTGAGTTGGTGGACTTAATTGACATTTTCACAGTAGTAAAGGGACCTATTTGTGTCCTCCTAAATCGCCGACATTGAGTGAACAAGTTGCTAGGGGTAGGAAGATGACATTTCGACTTGGATGCAACGAAGAAGAACGGAAGAAGACATATCGAGAAATTTATCTTTTTATTTATTGTTGCTTTCAGGTTAGAAAGACGACATTTCAACTTGGATGCAACGAAGAAGCATGGAAGAAGACATATCGAGAAATTTATCTTTTTATTTATTGTTGCTTTCATTTATTTGTAAGCTTTTTCTATGTCATACTTATTTTCCTGTTTTCAAACACAGGACTTAAAGTTGTTTTTTGTGGGTCGCTAGGTTTGTTCCTCTGGGGGTTTGTGGCTTTGAATGCCGCTTCGAATCCATCACATGTTCAGTGAAATATACTGAAATATATTAATCAAACATGGATAAACATTCCTAAATCTGATCAAGGAGTGGGGAGGTTTTATGGTTATTGCAAACCTAAAGGAGGTCTGAGGTGTGGGCTGGACATCAGAGTTTTGATTCTTATAATTTTAGTATAGGTGATTTCCCTTCCCAAAAAAACTTATTATTATTGCTGGTAATAATGAGTATATTATTATTACTAGTTATACTTTCAACTTTTTTTTAATTTTAATAATGATTCCTTGAACATATTCTTTAAAAGTACCGAAAACCAAACAATTAATAAAGAATAGGATTATAGGAACTGAAGCATAACTCACATGGTAGGAAGAAGGTGCCACAAGGGAGATATCTCGATTCAACTCCAAGCAATGACTTAGCATAACTGTCCGATCAATTCTAGGAGGGCCTCGGGGATGGGGTGTAATCCTTTTTAGGAACTGCACCGTTAACCATTTATAGCACATGCGTAGGAAACCGAATTGAGTTCTAACGGTTAAATTTCAACTGTTTTCCAGTTCCGAAGTCCCAGCCCTACACAAGACCTCCAATATATTAAAGGAACATATTCAGGCAGGTACTTCAAAGGTCAGAGCAATGTAGGCGCTGGAACATGGGATGCAAAGCAAGGGAAACCTAGATACCAATAAGAGTCTGCGACCTACATAAGTGGGGAGATCCACAACAACGCTTCAAAGAGCAAACAGTTGCTCCAATCTAAAGTAACTTGAAAGTATAACTAGACATATTGTCCATCCCTAAATGCTAAAATGCACGGAATTGTATAATTATGCATGAATTAAGAATTTTAAACAAATCTGATTCCGGAAAATGAGTTCACCTCCCACCATCTTGTGAGGGTATTTATGATAGCAGAGTAAAACACACACACACACACACTATGCACATCTGATACAACAAATACAACCCCAACTACAACAAAATTCCTCCGCCCCGTGATTTTTCTAGCATTTTCCCACATTATCCAGACTTGGAGTAGTAATTCAGCACATCTCACCTATGAAACTGTACGGCCATAACAAACGGATGCAATATAAAGATTCTTTGCCCATTTCTCCTGTAACATCATTATATAAGACAGATCAGCACGAAAAATTGGCACTAAAAAAATTACACATGTATATATAAGGTGCAAGGCCCACACCTTCACGTGAGAACTTGGAAAAGCAGAAGTGCGAAGCGTCTCCTGTGTTTCATCTGTTGGCTTTCTTCTAGGAACACTTAAAACAAACGCAGCCTGATCCCATGTTGCAGCAGTAGCAGTTATACGGTATCCACTTTCCCATCTCCGGTGGATACCTTCGCTAGGGTAAAGAAAATCCAACTCAACAACCTTAAAACCAAAAACATAAATGAATGAGAGGTATAGTTAGAAAATGCAAATACTTTATAACAAAATAACACAACATTGAGTGAACAGAAACCTGGTCTGAAATTCCAGCACCACGAGACATGACTACTGCCCATCTACTGCCAGCAGTGGCCATTGAGGTAACATAGAAGCCTTCTCTCCACTTCTTGTTTATCCACTTAAAAGGAAAAGATTCGCTCACTTTGTAAGATTGCTGCAAATATTGTGTGCCTAGTCGGAGTAAAGAGCTAAGTCAAGCAAAAAACATACACTGGATGTACTCCTGAATTCAAAGAATCCAACAGTTGAACCTAACCTTTTGACATTACCACCAATGAATTCCCATTACTAGCTCCAGCAACAGCACTGATATAAAAATTCTTTTCCCAATGTTCCATGATCCATTCCTTAAAAGACCAAAACAATTAAAACTACACTTTGTGCAGAAAGAAAATGTTACAAGCAAATTATACAAACTAGATGCCCAACTGTTCATCAGTATAACCCAATGTTATTGATGCCACAAGACAATGGCCTATTACACAGACTTGACAGAAGGCAACTTGAAATTAAATAAATATAACTTCGCATCAATATGCATAACAGCCAAAGTTCTTTCCGAGATTACAACAACAATAACAAAAGTTCAGAATTGAAAGAAAACAAATCCTTATTTACCTATTTAGAAAAGTCTGAGTCTCATTCTTTATTTTCTAAACTACACTTTGAGAACAATATCTGAGACACCGATGATGAGAAGTGCATACCTTGTGAAGAAAAAATGGTGACAGCTCATATACTTGCTGAGTGAAACCAGTTCCAGCGTCCATGATTAATGCCCATAGATTATTGCCAGACGCGACACTACTTATAAACAAACCATCTTCATTTCCTTTATCTATGTGCTGAGAGAGTCGTGCATCAGCCACATTGTAGTGATACCTATACGAATGAGAACACAATAGGCAATTATATCCACAATTAATCTCTGATATCCATGGAAGATGGTATTGGTTTTACCTTTGCTTCATAGGTCTGCGAGCATTGTAGACACTAATCCATTGTGTAGCAGGCATCCCCAAGCGCACCTTCTTTTTGGGTTGTTGGTCATCTTCATCTTCAAGAGTGAGACGACCCCTCTTCTGGCCAACCATATAGATAAGCTATAGATGACAAGAATGGAGAACACCAAATCACAAAGTATTACTTTGTCAGGTTCACATAAAGAATCTAAACTGATGTAAGTTGTACTGCGTAATATAGAGTTTACGAACCTTTTGTGCCCCATCTGTGTTTATTGGCCTGATATCTGGATTTGGTCCCACTATCCCATCAAAAAGGGAGATATATTTTGCATAGTTTGGTTCCTCGTCAAATTTTAAATTCACTACATATTCCACAAA